ATATATGTATATAGTATAGAAAAAATGTTGACGTACTGTAACTACGATAGAAAGAGAATGTGGAAACATCGCATGGCTTAATGGCTTACTGAATATACTTCCATCCACTGTAAAATGGCTAAGCATAATCCTAGTAACGTGGTTATTCTGCATGGGAATTAACTCTTCTTTGAAACTCATCTGTTCAGTGAAGTGCCTGGGAACTGTCTAATGGAGCATACTTTGAAATGAAAACATCAAGCATTTAAAAACCAAGGGCAAAAAGGAATTAAGAAAGTGGTATTGTAGTAAATGAATGGTTCTTCTAGCAATTAACACACATACCCTAACTTGTCAGGACAAAGATTTTCACATAAGCACTGCCTACATTATACTTAAAATAAGAAAAAAAGTTATCTGCGTACTATCCCTATGCACATTTAATTAACTGTAGGCTTTTTAGTAACACTTCAGTGGCCATTAAAGCGTAAGCTCACCTGTCAAATCAATGCAAAACCTTGTAGGTGAGTCCTACACTAACAATTCTAACAATGCTGCTTTCAGCTAAAAGGCAAATGAGACAGAGAAGGGGGTTTGTCTAAACTCTAACACACTTATTAACCCTTAATAAGGAACACATGGGGTGTGGTAAGCCCAGCCTACATTATAGTAAAGTAACTTTTGGTTGTTGTTTTTATTCCATCAAAACAAAAATCAACGCCGTGTTCTTCATAAATTTCTTGTATTTAGAGATCTGCTACTACTTCCACTGTTTGTGTCTTCTTTAGACTATTAAGAAAGGCAGCCCTTAGCTGTAAACAGAGCTGGCATACAAATCTTGCAAAGGTATTTTGATGTGTCCCAACCTAGATATTAAAGGGATACTCCATGGAATGGAGTTATAGTTATGTAAAGCACAGAAAAATATATAAAATAAATAAATAAATAAACATGGAGAAAAAAAATAGATACTGAACATTTGCAACAGCATACAGCATTCATAGAAATAAAGATGAAGGAGCTTTTCATTCTGGCCTATGGGGTCTGATCTTATCTGACAAACTCTGTCCAGGAAATCAGATACATGAAACTGCTGAAAATGCTGAGAGCAGCCACAGCACAGCAGCTATGAGTTTATTGATCTCACCATTCAGAGTTTTGGAAACAGGGTTGTGCTGTTTGTCCTGACTCACTGATCATACGTACCTGTGCCTGTGATTTAGACACTCTCTGTCTGTGGAGAGGTGGTGGGACTTGCATTCCCACATGTAGTTGGAATTGGAGGACAAAGGTGCAGTTTTAAATCTGCAGCATGAAACTACAGGTGCACAAGCACATAAGGCATTTTAGCATTTCAGTATAAATGTAAGTCACTGAAAACCACACTGTCAAATCACATTTTTTTTTTATGAATCCTTCTTTGTCCCTCTATTTTCTCTCGTGTTGTTTTTTATTTTTTTCTTAAATTCAAATTCTACTTTTTGAGGACTACTTTTTCTTATGCATAGCGTAACCTTTGGCAATGGATGGATCAAAGTTCCTTATCAGTTACAAAGTTAAGTTGATGACCTATCAGTCAAAATAATCCCATAGAACAGCAAACTATAGAAATTATCAACAGAAGAGAACAAAATGACTGTGTCCTGATACTGAGATCCAGCACAAAGAAGATCAGAAGTATAAATAAAGTGGTAAATGGGATAGTATAATCTTTAAAGGAAAATTATAATGTTTGGAAAACAAATGTGTATTCCTAATGTTATAGTGCCCTGGTGGCCATTTAGGTTTCGGCCCCAACTTTTACGGAATAAAGAAGATTATTTACTTTTTCTTCTGCGCTGCCGTCCCACCTCTTTGGCTGAAATCATCAAAATTGATTATATTAGCCACTCTAATGCTTTCCATTAGAAAATATTGGGAGGCTAGTATGCTGCACCAATCAGATGATCTCTCTGCCATTTCAGAATGAAAATGTTTTACACTGTAGGGTTAAACTGGAGGACATAGCACCAAGACCACTTCATTAAGATGAAGTGGTCTGGGTACCTACAGAGTACCTTTAAGATACAAGTGACATAGGAAAGAGCAGACTGAAAGGAACAATAATGAGAAGAGTAAATATTAGAAATGTGCATTATTACTAGATTTTTTAACATAGCATAAACTATTAAGTACACTTTAAAACCATAATATAAACGCTACTACACACTACTATTCTTGTAATTGAATTACAGTCTGTTTTTCTAAAAAGAACACAACCTGCTTACTCTTTCTGCAGTAACCATGTGGTGTTCCGTGCATGCCAAAGTAACACCCTCTGTTTTAGCATTGGCAGGAGCATGCATGGGCAAAGCATCACCCTCAGGATGCTCTTCAGGAAGCTAGAGAAGTGTGTTGGCGAAACTGTTGGACTCTGCAAATCACACAGAAGCAGTATTAAAGTGCTGTGCAAGAGAAGATAGAGACAATCTACAGACACAAAATAGCAACTTAATGCAATCATGTAACCTTACAATGATTTAACAAACCCAGTTTTCTGGTTCAGAAGTTGGACTAGTGATACATTGTCCATTTATGATGCCATGTTAAAGGAACACTGTAGTGTTAGGAATACATACCTGTAGTCCCAACACTACAACCCTGATGCCCCTTGTCATTTAGGTCACCCCAGTATAAAAGTAAAAAAACGGAATAAATAAAATTAAAACAAATTACTCACCTTTTCTAAGGATGCGTCATCCAGGAAGTATGCCTCCAGGATGACGGGCCAGTCCAATGCTCCTCAAAGAGGTGTAAACTATTTAATAAAAAGCAATTGAATGCAATGTGCTAACTGTCTTAACATGTTGAGAGACAATAGGGTGGATGCTATGGCCGTAAAAGAAGAGAGTGCAAAAGCTGGCTTGCTGTTAAAAAGACTAAGATCATGGCAAACAGCAATCTCAGTTCCTGGCAAACAGATGGTGAAGAAGTGGAGGCAGTGACAGATTTTATTTTTCTGGGATCCAAGATCTCATCAGATGGTGACTGCAGTCATGAAATTAAAAGATGTTTGCTTCTGGGGAGGAAAGCTATGTCAAGCTTGGACAAGCTGGTAAAAACTAGATCTTACACTATCAACAAAGGTCCGCATAGTCAGAACTATGGTATTCCCAGTAGTAACATACGGATGTGAGAGCTGGACTATAAAGGAGGCTGAGTGTCATAGAATTGATGCCTTTAAACTGTGGTGTTGGCGGAAACTACTTAGAATTACTTGGATAGCAAGAAGATCCAATAAATCCGTACTACAAGAAAACAAGAAAAACTGCTCACTGGAAGCTATGATGCGAAGGCAGGATTCTGTAGAGAAGACTCTGATGCTGGGAAAGATTGAAGGCACACAAATAAGGGGACGACAGAGACGGAGATGGATAGATGAGGTCACTGAAGCCATGAACCTGAAGCTATTGGAACTGAGGGGGGCAGTGACTGACAGATGTACCTGGCGTGCTATGGTCCATATTGTCACGGAATGTCGAACGCGACTAAACGACTAAACAACAACAACAGCAAATTATTATCCTGTCCTGTGTACTGGGTATCAGATGCATTTTTGCGATTGTGGCACTTGCTATATCTTTTAACTTAAAAAAGCCATCATGCTGTTTTCTGTTACTCCCCACTTGTTCATCAGGCCATCAGACATGAACATTTCTAGATCAAGATCCTGTTCCTCTGGTCAACCATCCAGTGACTGAAAAAAATCATCCTCCCAGTTGCCTACTCCCAGATTTAATTCACTGTGAGAGTCATCTTGCCTTCTCTGAACAATGGAGAATCCTAGACACCTTCACCATGTCAGCTCAGGCACAGATTTCCCAAAAGGCAGAGTAGGCAGATGTCCTGTCCACTTATTTACAGCACTCCTGATACTGAGATCCAGCACAAAGAAGATCAGAAGTATAAATAAAGTGGTAAATGGGATAGTATAATCTTTAAAGGAAAATTATAATGTTTGGAAAACAAACGTGTATTCCTAATGTTATAGTGCCCTGGTGGCCATTTAGGTTTCGGCCCCCACTTTTACGGAATAAAGAAGATTATTTACTTTTTCTTCTGCGCTGCCGTCCCACCTCTTTGGCTGAAATCATCAAAATTGATTATATTAGCCATTCTAATGCTTTCCATTAGAAAACATTGGGAGGCTAGTATGCTGCACCAATCAGATGATCTCTCTGCCATTTCAGAATGAAAATGTTTTACACTGTAGGGTTAAACTGGAGGACATAGCACCAAGACCACTTCATTAAGATGAAGTGGTCTGGGTACCTACAGAGTTTAATGGAAACACTTTTGAAACGCGTTAAGTGTACTGAATATACTGTTTTATCTATTTTTTACCTTGCTGTTTGCTTTTATTTTTAGCATTAAAGTACTTTTTATTGAATCTGTTTCTGCTGCTGCGGGATCCTTGGGCTACAGCCTTGGTGGGGATAATACCACCTAAGTGTATTATATTTAGCATACCGTAGTTTGCTCTTAAGCATGTGAGTAGGTTTTTTATCTTTATTGTACTTTACACCCCATATTTACGGTGTACACTATTGTGGTTTTATCTATTCTTCTCCATATATATATCCATGAAGAAAGATTACCTACACCTATATCCCTGAGTAGGGATCATACCACTTCACACACTAATTTGAAGCCAAACTGACGGCTCCATTAAATGTGAGTGCACATTTTATATTTATACCTACCGCTGCTCCAAAACTCAATATGCTACACTATACTACGATTTTTATTTCTATGAAGATACCTCCTACAACCACAATCATACGAAGAATCAGCACTGCAGTTTATCCTTAGGCAGGGATTATTCTGCCCAGGCACATAAGTTGGAACTGCGTTGAATCTCCATAAAGGTGTGGTGCACATGACAGGCGTATAGTCGCCATATGGGCAGGTGGAACCCCCCCCAAACACACTGACACTGATGTATGGGTTAATATGTCCACAGCTTTATTAATACTGATAATAATAAATGAAAGTCATTGCCCAGTTCCCATCCCGCCATATAACATCATATGTCCCCCAAAACAAAAGACAATGACCCATCCTTTCCGTAAATATAAATCACATAAACAACAGTAATAACAAACATCATAAACATGATATAAGTGCCAAACTTTGTTAAATAACCACAATAGGTGTATACCTGGATACCCCTACCACCCACCAGGTTCTGAGCCACCACCGAGCTCGAAATCTACCAAAGTTTGTAACGAACCATTTAACCCAACTTTTCACCAGCAGCTTAACTGCTCTATTCTATTAACACCAACCCAGAGCCTGTTTGTCCCCTAACTTTTCTCTCTCTAGCCCCGCCGCTGTGACCAAAAGGGAGCGAACAACCCTTACCTGTACAAATGGGAGGGACAACTTAGGCCAGGTAAGCAGATTAAAAGTGCCTACTTCTTTTTTTTTTTTTTTATTCTTTATTTTATTCAATGAGGCACCACGGAGGAGGCCGCGGGAGAGGGGGAGCCAAGGACCGGGACAACCCGCCGTACACACGCCCCCCCCCACCCCTCGAAGCTCTCCCGCATCTCCTAAGCTCCCAGTGGGCTCTCATCCCATGGCTCCCAGACCTTACAGAATGTCCCCGAGGATCCCCGCAGTCTGGCCGTTAGGTCGTCCATCAGTCTCACCTCCCTTATTCGTGAGTATACACTTGCCATTTGTGGCGCTTCTGGTTGTAACCAGGTGTATGCTATCGCTCTCCTAGCTGCTAAGGTGAGCTTATGGAGTAGTGTCTGCTCCCGTCTCGTCCATCCATCTATTGACCTATTGAGGAGATAAACCCAAGGATCTAAAGCTGGAGCTCTAGAGAAAACCTGGATCAGAAGGTCCTTTATGGACCCCCAAAACCCTTTAAGCCTCGGAAGTGCCTACTTCTAAAAGTGCCTTCCCCTATGCCCGCCTCCAAGCTCTGTCCAACCCCTTTTCCACTAAGCTGCGCTTGTTCCATAGGGTTACATTTCTTATATTATTTATACTAACTATAGTTTTAATATACTACACTATTAGTTTCTTACTTTTTTTCTTTTTTTCGTTACATATCCCCAAATAAGGACTACTTAGGCGCTGCACCTACCTTCCCCCCCAGCTTTTAACCGGACAGGAGAGAGTCCACACTTGGTGTTTGAGCTTCCATTGCACTGTAATCATCTTACATATATACCTTTATGGCCCTTAGCTGGACAGGTGAAGGGAGATACATACAAGGACCCTTGACAACAGACATGTAAATCTGGACCTGTAGCAACTGGACTCTTTCTTTTCTCCTTGGAGACTGACATAATCATGGTGGAGATGGACATGAGTGACTCCCATAGGACAGGCCACATTCTGAGAGTAGGAAAAACTGCCCAAAGCTGGCAGTAATCCTAACACGGCACACTTGCCCATAGCCTATGGACTAGCTAGGCCTGCAAAATAAGCAGCTTTGGAGGGGTTGAAACCAACCTAGAGAGAGATGACTTGACTAGAAGGTCCACATGGACATCTGCAGATTCCTCATTCCACTTTCTGAGAAAGAAAAGTTGCATTGGTTCCAAGTGAAACTTTGTAAAGCGTACTGCTTTCAGAGTCTCTAACACGAAACCCAGAAGCTCCATGCAGTCTGCTGCATATCTCCAGATCCAGAACAGGGTGAAAAATTGAAAAAACTATATTTACAATAATTCTGTACAAAACTGGACTACCAGCAAGCATAAAAATAACTTCCCTGCTTGCCAGTCCCTCAGGCAGAGAAAATGGCATGCAATAGACATTATGAACCATTACAGAGTCCAGTCTACTGATGGTTTGAATCTATTTTCATTGTTGAGCATGCACAGTTATCTTACAACATCTCTCAAAGATTATCTTTCCTGAGATCTTTCCTTTCACCTGAGATTGAACAACCTATGTCCCCCTCCAATGTTATCTGTTAATGGCAAGGACTCTATTATTAATGAGGATGGAATACATTTTCAGAGATAGCCCCCATATTGTGGTCTGTAGACAAACATTATTTCAAAAAGAATCGTCCGAGCAACAAAGTGTCAGGCTACAAACATCTCCATAAAGTTCCAGCTCTGGAAGATTGGTGTGTTAAAATATTGTTATTTGATCACCACAGAGGGTTTTTTCTGCATTTTGGGAATAGAGGGTTATAAAGAATAGGAGTCAAAGGCAAAACTTTGTTATTGAAGTAATCTTTGTAATGTCTGTCTATACCCTAAGTGTGCTGGACAGTGGGGGAGCGATCTCTTCGATGTTTTGTTCCAAGGGCAATCCATGGCAAGGACGAAACAGGTGATCAGCTTTGAGATTCTTCAAGATTATTCTTATTAGCATTTATATAGCGTCAAAATATTCTGCAGCACATTACAATTATATATCCAGACAACAGACTATCTCCAGCTGTTCAACTGCAGCATCTCACTAAATTGTCCTGCTCTATAGTAAAAATCAATCCAAAATTAATCAGCAGCTTAGGTCTATACATTATTCTTGTCTTTTTACTTATATAGTTGTCTGTAAATTATACCTAATCTCAAAATATATTATGGTCTATAAAGCTATCCTCAGCTATTTAAATCCAAGCCATAGGTATATAGTTGTAACATTTTCACCATAAAACTCATTAAATATTAAAAGATCAGGCATCAAGTTTACCTTCTTTAATTTTCTCCTCTCTTATAATATTGAGAACATGTTTGCCTAAATTCACCCCTAACATATGAGTTAATCCATTTAATGCGGATAAATCATCTCTCACTAATAACATTTACACAGAGTCAATTTGTATAGGTAAGGTAACTGTATATGACACTTCCTAACAAAATAAGCAAGTGCAACTCCTCATTTACAACTCGATTTACTACACCTGTTTCTTGCAAAATTCAGTTTATTGTATGTAGCAATATAGGAAAAAAAAAATCAAACACCCAATTCTGTATCCTATAGTAAACAAAGTAACTTTAATTATTAATTGAGATTTAACTTCCACTGGCAATGAGGCCTGAACACAGTTCACAGATCACTGCAAAAAAACATGTCACTATGCTGAAAAGATATAAACGTAATATTTAACAAACATTTATAATAAACCTTGGAATGATTAATCTAAAACACATACATGTTATCCTGAATGCACATGATCTATAATATAAGCCTGTCTTCTCCTCCCTCTTGAATAACCTGACCAACTGATGCCTGGTTTTGTATCTTCAGAAAGCACTGTTTTTTACACTCCATAAGTTTCTCAAAATCACGCCACATCTTCACTTGTTTCATATTTAGGCCATGGCTTTCTCGTACAGATTTTTGAGTTTCTCGTAATTTCTGTTTAAAGTAAACAAAATACAAATATGGGTTAGTATTACTGAAAAATCATATTTCTAAATACTATTTCTAAATACGGTATCAACACAGTTCTTTTATTAACCTCCTTCTATATTCTAACACTTTTCTTAGCTTTTGAACGGGGGTACATTGATGTTGTGGCAGGCTTATGCAATATATGATCATATAATGCAACTAAACTCCCATTATTTTTTTGCCTAGGTGAGGTGTTTTTAAATAAAACTATTACAATTTCTAGGATTTTAAATCATTGTTTAGTGAAAAAGGCACTGGATTCTGTATTTTGTATCTTTTGGCCCCAGCAGCACCCTATAATGTATGCATGTTCAGGTGAGTGCAGCCCTCTTGGTTTCTTCTTCTTTTATATATTTAGGAGTCCAGGTCAACTCCTTGGTTTTGCACCCCTCCCTGTCACAGGTGCCTCATTCTAGGACCCTATTTAGCCTTGACTTGCACAGAGTCACAAGTAAGTGGATCAATCTCATAAGAGCAAGCGTTAGGCTGCTAGAGTAGGATACTGAGAGGGTAGTGGATGCATGGACTAGCCTTCCAGCTGAAGTGGTAGAGGTTAACACAGTATGTTTAAGCATGCGTGGGATAGGCATAAGGCTATCCTAGACTTAAGATAAGGGACTAAATAAAAAATATTTTGAAATATTGGGCAGACTAGATGGGCCGAATAGTTCTTATCTGCTGTCACATTCTATGTTTCTATGTCCAGCTATCTGATTTGCCTGTTCATCAATTGTCCAAACCAGTTCCTACAGTTATAGTTCCTTCCTGCAAGTGTCAATAAGGCCGACATTTAATAAACAGCTTGAGTGCCAGTTACATTACCCTAAAACTGACATGACGCCTGACATTTTGGATTGTACCTGAAAGTATTAATTGTATTCATTTCAACAAATGCTAATGATGTATATGGTTTTACCCACTTTTTATGCAAATCTGCCTATTTTTCCCCATGATTTTTCCTGTGTCAGCTCTTGAATATAAGATCAAACTATCTTCAGTGGGGACTTATCTAGTGAGTTGTTTTGGAGAGCGTGCCGCGCATGAGTCCACATTGATCTCAGTATGCACCCAATGTGCCCAATATTGTGAGTTCTGAAATCTAAAAGACAGGAGACTGCACATTGTTGGCAACACATGGCAACCTTAAAGGTGGAGTGGCAGACATGTGAACAGTGCAAGTTTAACAACCAATTTCACTGTGTGGTTTTTGCATAATAATGATCAGAATGTTAGGATTCTTACATTGTAATTAAGTTTTTTACTGGGCAGTTTACTTCAATACAGTCATATAACCAACCAAACCAGGTTCAACTGAACATCACATTTTAAATGCATAGTCTGCAGAAAAAGAATCATACCATTGTATGCACATAAAGTCCTGTGGAAATATGTGTGTACATTGTACACATGATCAAGAACAAGCTACCATTTAAATTGAGTAATCGCTCAATTGCTTAGCCTTAGAGTAAGACAGAGAGTGGAAGGGAATAGTGACCAAATTATCTCAACAAGGCCCTGTGTAAAATATGGTATTGGGAGCTAATTTGTCTACAGAAAGGGATATTATTGTAAGATAGAAATGGTTGGCAGTGATATAGCAACTAATTGTAAAAATATCCAAAATCACACTGTTCAACTGGGAGTAAAAGAAAAATATAACAAAAAAAAAAAAGGAAGAGTTGGGAAATAGTGTGGTGGAGTCCTCATACTCTTTTTTTTCCATTTCAGCCGAATTCCTGTCTCAAAGTAATGTACACATACAACCTATAAACGTTTCTAAACTTTACTTCAACCACAATTGGTATGGTGGTATGGTGGAATGCAAGGGGCTAATGCAGGAAAAAAAGAGGCAGATGGATCAGCAAAGGAACATGTGAAAGAACAAGTGTCTGTCAGTGGGGGTAGTATGGCTTCCATAGCATTGTCTCCATGACTTTACATAATGTTGGTAGTATGGCTAGCTCCACAACACGACCAATATCCCATAGGAGGAGGTGTGGCTATACCGGGTCCAGCGTTATTGTCCATGATGTGATCACTGAACACACATTTTAAGCCCATAACCATGCCAGAGAAACTAACATGAGCCTGAGAAGATCCTGGGATGTGTCAAAGAAGCGTTTGCATATTCAGTAGATTGTCTCACATGGGAGACCTCTAGTAGGCAAATTAATGTTTTCGGTCTCAACATGCTCTGACATGCACACAGAATTATAGAATGTCAGTACTTTGTAAGTTCCTGATTGTTGCACCAATACTAATAGTGAAGTTTCCAGCTGTGGAGTAGATTATCGAATCTATCCCATTGTACAGCATTATGGAATTTGCTGGCGCTATATAAATAATAAAGAACACTCCTGAAATACGCCTTATTAAGCTGACAAGCTCTGTCACTCTGATTTCTTACTGTTAAAAAAGTTTAAAGAATAAACAATTTAAATAATCTGAAATTAGATTTATGAATTGCAAACTTATGTTAGAAACTAATTTATTATACTTTCAAGTGCCAAAATGTGGGATAATGTGAAGAGTACTTCTAATATATAACGTACAGAAAGTATACAAAATAATTGAACATATCCACACTTGCTATTTATAATAAATCAAAGCTGATAATTGCTTTCATTATATTTGATATAAATATGCCAATAGATGAAATCATTATTTCCAAATATAATTTAAAAAAATGCTCAAAGTGAACTGAAAAAAACCCATCCACAATTAAAATTATTAAAATAATTAGATCAGAAACTAATGCAACATATTGTGATAAATCTGTTTAATCCCTCTTAGCAAAGCGCTAAGGCCATACAATAGGCTTGAATAAAATAATTTCACTAGTCTTGCTCAAACAGCTACGCATGGCTAAACAGTATCAAATAAAGCTACAGGTATAGTGCAGAAAAGACATTGTTTATCAAGAATATCCTATAGTTATTAATCAGATCTATTATCTGGATTTTTCCAGACTACCTGAGAAAAGCAATTCATCACGTCTGCTTTATTTTACAAAATATTTCCTGGCTGATGGGAACTTGTCATGTCTACCAATCTAAATTAATGGTGTTTCTTTCCAATTTCTACTAATCTAAATGAATGGGGTCTCTGCCCATTCACATCCCAAAGCATGGTCAGGTAAACAGGAGAATGAGAAAATTGCTTTCCTCACTTGCAATCTCAGACAACTACAA